GCTTCAGTTTCCTCACAGCTCTGGCACGGCCTTTTCCACCAAATGGCACAGACAAGCGTGCCTGCTCCTCATGTGCTATGGCTTGGCAGCGAGGTCGTTGATAAAATTGAGACAGCGCACCATATCAGTGTCCCTCTGAATCACCCGGATTTGAGAATCTTAAACATAGATTTAGAGCGATGAATGGTAAAATCGCTGAGATCGCTTCGAGGTCAGACTTATACTCATCAAACGTAGGATATTTGGAAGGTGAACGGCGTTTGCCTGAAGGGGTAAGGCAATACTCCAAGAAAATGGATGCCACTCTTCCTGGGAGCCACACACTTGAGGTTACGAGGAATGGTCATCGAGAGCGCTCAGCGGTTGCCCAATTGAGAACAGACATGGCAAAAGTGTATAGCTATCTCGTCGCATCAACGACACAGGTAAAACTCGAATTTCGAACTGCTCCTCATTTAGACTCATGGGTTAGGTCTCCATCTACCATTCTTCGCCTTGTCTCGTTTGATGAAGGAGAGTTCCGTTGCGAGTGCTGGCTTTTCCTGCGAGCATGGTGCCCCGCCAACGAACCAACGCTCGACGTCCCAGGGTTCCCGGAGTTCACAGCGGCAGGGCGGCTGTGGATAGTCGGGCTGCTCGACGCCAGAGCTCCAAAACGGCTATTGTAACGGTCGTGGGATAGTTGCACAAGAGCATCATCGCTCATCGACCCAACGAGCAGTGCTGATCGATTGTTAGACATTGTTTTTCCAACATTGAAAAGGTCTGCCAGCGTTGTCACGACGACATGGTCACTATCCCCGTCGGCAACCACTTCCCCAATGATGTGTATCTTTTGATTGGTAACCTCACTAGACGCCAGCTTACACACTTCTAGGCATTGCCTTGATGCATGCATGTCTTCATTCAACCGTAGCCTTTCGCCTGAATCTCCGTCCGTAAGAACAGTCTCGAGTCGCTCGCGAAGACGAGTAATGATATTTACCAAGCTTGCCTGGTTGTCATTGAGGGCCTGGCGAGTCAAAAGTTGAGCTTCAAACCTTTGCTGGAGAATCGCAGAGCTTCCCAGGGCGGGCTGATCTAGCAGAGGTGAGTCGCGACACGCCAAGGACTCCAAATACAACTTCGCATCCTCGCATATCTGCAAACACTGTTTTGTTACTTGTCGCTCATCGTCCAGATCTATGGCCGGTTTCGTCGCGCTGCTATCGACGCCTCCTGTAGGTGGCCAGTTCTCCATCTTGTCGTTGATACGTTGAAGTTGAAGGTTGAGTTGATACATGGTATCTTTCACCATTTCTTCAAGCTCTTCCAAAGCGGCACTGGACAATTTGACAGTGCGCCTGTGCATCAACAGTTAGAAATGATGATACGCTTCCAGGCTGATGGAGCCCCTAAAAATGGATAGCATGAGAACTGTAGAAAATCTCACATATTAAGCACACCGAGGCCAACGGAGATGGTGGCTTTGTATCCTGCCAATGTGTCCATAAATTGGTTGATATCACCTCTCATGAACTCCATTCTTGCCCAGTCTGTAAAACTTGACGTTGATTTGCCGCTGAAACGCCTCATGGCGGACTCAAAGTCGCTGCAGAGTTGGGTACATCGTTCGATTGGCCCACAGAGAAGCTCAGTCATTGACGTCTCAGCAGCTACCGCAGGTTGCTGGTTCGTAGCATCAAGTAGTTGCGCGAGACTTTGTAGGATACTTTCAATGTCTTTCACCTCGGCGAGAAGTCTCAACAACGTCATGTCGCGCGTTTTGTATCGTTGGATAGCTGCTTTTAAAGATCTCGTGGACTGAAGGCCAGCCGTGACGATGGCCAGTACCGAGGCGATAATACTCAGCGGGTCCATCCTGCCGAAGAACAGAATACACGTAGTCTTTGAGTACAGAACGAAGTGAGAAGTATGGTGATAGCAATTTCATGCTGGTGCGGGGAAGTAGCTGGCGAGAAAAGTGGCATTGTAATTGGCCGATGGCGGAGACCAGCTCCACTCTTCCCATTGTCACCCACAGGAGAGCATTTCGCCGGCCCGACACTGCTGTTCGCGACATAAACAGTCAAGCAGGAATCAACCTTCCTCTTACATCTACACTGGTACCCACCTTTGTAGAGAGAGAATTTTCAGCCACCTAAACGCACGCCCAGTAGACATAGAGCGAACCGTTCAGCGCTCTTGCGCAGCCGCAGGCAATGGCGATTGGCCAATCGTCTACGCCCGCGACCAGCGCAAGGGGCGCCGATAGTTCCCGGAAGGCTTCCATCATGATGCACAGGAGGGGCTCATGAGAGGCGCCGCTCCGGTAACAACCCGCCCCTTCTTGCCCATTAGCAGCCCAGTGCGACGCTCGACAAGCGCCGTCAAAACTGGTCACAGACAACGGTGACACCTCAGAAGAGACGTGAATCTAAACGCCAACTACTACGGGATTCTTGCCGACGAAGAAAATGAAATTGTGGACGCGCTTGACGCCATGGACCTAGAATCCGAGACACGCCAAATTATCGCTAGAGAGAGAGAACGTATACCGCTATTCTGGCAAGAAACCCGTAGTAGTTGGCGTCTGCTGTGAGTTTTTTAGGGGGTGCTTGTCAAGCGTCAGCTCTGGGCTACTGCTAGGCAAAAAGGGGCGGGTCGCTACAGCGGTGGCGCCTCTCATGAGCCCTTGGCCGTCCGCGTTCCACCCAATTCTTGGCCACCGTTGGAATACAGTCAAGTTCATGCAAGTGCTAATGCCATAGCCGCGCATGCGTCTTTGAGAAACGGTACTAGATCGTCCAGGAGGAATGTTAACGTGTTTTTTATCGATTGATTCAAATATTTCCCCCATTTTTGCTTACAGAAACAAGTGGCTGCAGGGAGGCGTCCGCAATGGCCGTCGCTGGCTGTTTAACCTTTGCTTGTGCGCACCGACATCTACTGAGAAGCCAATGGCTTGCAACGCCGCTGGGCTGGAAAGCCGGCTTATAGAAATGACTCGTTGAAAGACGGAAATGTACCTTGCTCTTCAATGTACCTTTGTCTTCCTCGGTTTTGCAGAGCACCCAGCAAGCGCCTTGGCCCTGTAGCTTGGAATAGTGCTGGGTAGGCGTGGTGAACGAGAGGAGCCTCTGGTGCGTACTCAAAAATTAAAGCCGCTGCTCATTAGACGATTTGGTGGATGCACAGTGTCCAATTCTATGCCAAAGCATCCGGGGCATCCGGGAGTACTGCTCTTGTGTGTGCTTGTATCTGGCACGGTTTTCACGTCAAGGTACGAGACAGGGGAGCAGGACACCTCCAGAGAATACATCGGTCGCGACATCCCCGGCCCCTGTCGTGCCAGCCTCCCGGAGTAAGATGACGGCGGCGCACCGTTGCGCGGGTCTTCTGTCGGGGTGGATGTGACCGGGGCTTTCCCGACCTTGTGCCATAGCCAGAGACGTAACGCCCCCGGAAGGCAGTGGCCCAAGGCGCCACAGCGGGCTCCTTCCCTTCGGACTGGTCCTAACTCCAACCCTGACGAGACATTAAAACTCTCCGCAAATTGGACAAGTGTCGGAGGGCCGGTCACAAGTCTGAGCCTTGTCAAAGGCATTCTCAGTTTCCTGCTGGCCGTGGCTGTGGAGTAGATGTTGGACCAAGTCGCGGGCCATCAATTCGATCGATGGGAACTTCATGGGAGATACGCATTCGCACTCCGGGCAAATCCATTGAAAATTTCTTTGCAAATAGCTGACCCACTTCGGGGTGTGGTAAACGTGCATGTGGATTTTCCATTGCTCAGCTGTGTCGAATGAGGGTGGGTTCTTTCGAGTGCACCATTCATCCAAGCAGACGTATGATTTCTCTGTATGCCGAAAATGGCATCTGCTTAGCGTTAGCAGGCCGGGTATAGTAGTAGATGAAAGTGTTGAAAGACTTGCTCATCTGGCTTCAGGTGGGCTAGAGGGCTGAAGCATTTCTGCCCACAAACAGGACAGTCGCACTGGTACTCATCGGGCGAGCCTGATGCTGTACGGCTCTGCTCGACGGGCAGTCTCATCGACTCAATCTCAGGGTTAAGCGCATCCCTGCGCTCTTGCTCACCACAGTCCTGCTCGTAGAGTGTCCTGTAGTGCGTGAAGAGGACAGCATGTACCAAAGCTTTGAGCAGACCAGCCGGCTTATCGCCTGATGCCGTTTCCTTACTCTGGACTGCTCAACGTGGTCCAAGCGACTTAAGATCAAATAACTTGAGGCCCAGCTTATACCACCAAGAGCCCCTCTCAATAGGAATTGCCGATTGCAGGTGAGTAAATTGAGTCGAGATATCCCTAATCACTTTGAGGTTAAAGTCTGAGTCATCATGCTTCTTTCGGTACTCGGCCACCCGACATCCGAGCGCCGGCGGGGTGTCAAGTAGTAATTGGTGGACGGAAGTTTCTAGTTAGGCGAGTGATGATTCAATTTTGTCGAAATAAGAGTCGAAATGGCCAAGGGGGGTGAATCCACGAACGTCTTGAACTGAGGTGAGAGCCGCAGTATTTGCATGTTAGCTTCATGGCATGGAAAGCAAAGGGTGAACATTTTCCCTTTCCACACCCCAGGTCAGCCTGGAACTGGTCCAAAAAATTTGAGAGCGAAGTTTGTTTCTAGAGGGATCTAGCAAAGAGTCGAGATTTGGACCCTCCTTGTTCGGCCAGACGTCGAGCAAGTGAGCCCACTGTCGGAACTCGAGGTGTGTATTCTCGATACGGCGCTTGTCCTTATCCTCGAGGCGTATGAACTCCAAGGTGCAAATAAGACGTAGGAAGAACTTGGCCCTTGACTGTACAGTATCGAGAGGTCGATGTGCCGCGAATCTGGATTTACCGTCATGTTGGTGGAAGGTGGCAGATATTGCAGGTTAACAAAGATGAGAAAAGAAAAGGCGACGAAATGGGGAGAACGGGGGCTTGCCTACAGAATCATCAGCCCCAGCGTCTGGTCGCCCCACTCATGCCGCCTCAGGCAGTGCGCCACTTCTTGCCATCTGACTGGTCCCTGGACAGCACGATCCCATGCTCGCAGGCTTCGACTAGACAGCCAGCGGGGTACAGCGGTGTCAATCTAGGGTCTCATCAGCAATGGAATTCTAGTCTTATTTGTTCCCGGACTACTACATATCAGCAGGCAGCAGCTTTACGGGAGCCCTGGTCGTTCGGGCGAAATGCTTCGCTGTTCATCAACAGTCGCCGTTCCTTTTTACCAGAAATGCGTTCAATTGGCGCACGATGCTTTCAATATTCTCACATTGTATTCAATATTCTCACCTTATATTCAATATTCAATACTCGATACTCAATATTAATTTTCTCAGTATTGATGCAGTGGGTCTACCACTGTCATGTTTACGACACCTAGCATCGAAAAAGCCGAAGGAGGGTGACATCTGCGTAAAACCCAAATCAAGCGGGCCTATTAAAGCAGATGCTGTCCAGAGGTCGCCAGCTATCTATCCTTGTAGCCTGTTCACTACTCAGTAAAGCAGTGAAGTTACTCACTTTGTAACTTTGAACCAAGCGCTTCTCCTCAAAATGCCGGCCTACAGTGATATCCTCACTGCTCATCAGCGAGAAGCTCTGGATCGGTTGATTTGTGGAGACATGCATGATCTTGACCCGTGCATTGGCGACGTGAGTTGTCAGATGCGTGTGCCCTTCATCCTCGACGCCTACTGGAAAGTTCATTCTCGACTGCGCGAGAGAGGGCTACTGGATTGCATCTATGAAGCAATCAAACAACCCAACGGCGGCCAACAAGCGGCAAGACACAACGTCGATGGGACTGTGGAAGGCCAGCTTGCAGCCTTGAGAGCCTGGCGACAGTATGACGATACTGTCACGGATATTCGTCAACTCCTCGGCGAAAAGACCATCGAGCTGCTCGGGTTGTGCTATTCACTTACCTTTTCCAACGCTCTCTCTTACGATGAATTTGGTACCTGCTTCTACTTTGTCTACTTGGGAAGTTTTGGGCCTCCCTCTCATCATCACGACAGCCACAGAAAGCTTGGTCCCGACAACCAGCTACCTATACTTCGTCAGAAGCTGGCAAGCGGTATCGTGGCGTATTTTCATGACGTCGTGGGGAGGCTTGTCGCGGCTAGTACACATACAACCCGTGAAGTGAAGCAAGGGGACTTTATAAACTGCATTGAACAGCAACTCTATGAAGCAGTCCACCGGCTGTCATCCAGAATCGAACAGCAATATCCACATGCGGACAGCATTCCATTAGTTGCCTGTCAACCACAGATGAGAGTGGTTCTATTGCACGAATTTGCTTGCAAGAGGCCAATGGTTGTGACTGTCCGCCGTCTCAAAATTGTCAATTGCTCCGTCAAGGGACTCATCTACACCCTCAGCGATACACGCTGCTTGTACTACACACCCAGCGAGGAAACAGGCGTTTTTGAGCTTGTCAACAGCGTTGATAACAAATTTCGCAATATTCCTTGCTTATCTTTTAATTGCTGGAGCACATATCTCGACTCGCAGCCGGGACGCGGTTTGGATTCGAGCAGTGACGCTGAGTACTTCCACGCCTTGGCTCAAAGCGACATTTCGTGGCTTATTGTTGCTTATTCAAATGTGCATCCGCCGTTCGCAAGCAAGTCTGACGCCAATGGTGATGATCTGCGTTCTACGTACGCAAATATTTGCGGAGCAGAGGTCAGAAGTTTCGACTACACCCGCGAGCGATGTCATGGATTTGACCTGCAAAGGCAACGACTTGAGGAAAAACGGCCAACGTTGTACGAGGAACTGGTCATGGCGGTTGACTTAGGACAGAGACATAACTTTGCGAACGCAAGGCTCCTACCCATGGGCGCGAGATTCAGAAACTGCTATGTGCGAATTGGACACGCTGTGGATTTTGCAGTAGAGCACGTAAATGTCTCGACACTTGGGCGAGCCGAATCATTTTGCATGAGTCTGAGAAGTCGCCATGCAAGTGCTAGTCAGGCCGTCATCGGACAGTTTGTTGTGAGAATTGGTCGTTGTGGTGTTAGTTGCACGGATGAAGGTTTCGCTCGCTCTCTTGGCGGCATTAAGCACAAGAATAAGAAGTGGGGCAGGTACGCGTCAAGATATGCCCAGAACTTGATGCTCTGTATAGAATTCTCAAATTCTACACTATAGTTTAGGTATCTAGTCTGATTCAGTGTAGACCAGGCTACAGGGACTACCTGAAAACTGTGCAGCTTGCGTTCGCCGACATCGCAAAATTAATTTGGTCGTTGGTCACAACCATGCATCAGCTATGACAAATCCTAAGACACGTGGGCGCCAATCTCCCGCTCATGGAACGCAGCAGCCGAGTGGACCATTGCACAGGGTAGCCTAGTTATCGACAGGGCTAAGTGCGCTCGTCTTGACAATGGTTTATGGGCCGATTGCGCCGGCCTAGATGTTTGACAGCAAAGAGTCGAGAGCAAGTATGTACCGAAGGCAACGGTTCTTCTGAGAAGCTTCTCGTCGAATCTTGCTGGCAGCCGTGCGTGCTAGGGCGTCAATCTCTGTGTAGTTCATGAATGCCGCAGCACTTAGATTACGACGGTCAATACTAGGAATAATAGACTGGCGGGTGGGAAGACCATCCCTCTGAATGACGTGGGTGAGTATATACCCCATATAGACATACATTCATTCATTGTTTTATTACTCCCGGTGGCTTCCCGCCAATAGGGCTCACTAGCTATGTCTAAGTAGCTGCTTGACTATTCGCCTCATCCATTCCACTGATTCCTGTCGTTCTCCGATCACTTCCACCTCGTCTTTCTTCCATCCAGCGGACAATTTTCTCTGGCATTCCCCTTGCTCTCATCCTCTGAAGCAGTCGATCCTTGAACACGCCATTATAAGCACCCTTCACGTCAAAACTGACGAGACTCAGCACTCGTCCTCCTCTCCCGGCTGCGTAAATTTGTTCTTGCAGCAGCACTAGTGCCTGTTCTGCTGACCGTTGCTTACGTCCTCCAAAATGGTTCGTGGGGAGCAAACCAAACGTCTCCACCGCATAGGAGATTCTTTCAGCAATGACAGATTCTAGTACTTTGCCCAGTGTGCATAGCAATGATATCGGCCGCCAGGACCCTGCAACGCCGTAGTCTTCTTTGTCGCTTTTCTTGAGCGGGATGATCTTGGCGTGTCGCCACTGATGCGGTAACACGCCCTCGTCGAGGGACGCCTGGAACAACGCCAACACATGATACTGGACCACGGGCCAGATCCGCTGCCAAACCACTATCGGTAGTCCGTCTTTACCCGGCGCCTTCCACGATTTGGCTGCCATTAATTGACGCTGCACTTCCCCCAGCGTCAGATCCGGCATAGGCACAGCCGTTCGCAGTGGACGCTCGTTTTCTTCATCAATATGCTGCGGTAGTGGCGGAAAGAAAGTAGTCAGGAGCTCCTTCGCTTGCTCTGCATTGGAGCTTGTACGCGTGCCATCAGCTCGAACGAGCCGCGGCACCTTGCCAAACGCCGCTTCCTTGCCCGATTTAAGATATTGGCAGCTTGCCAGATATTGTCGTTGTCTGCCAGAAAATTCTCCCAGTGTGACTTCTTCTGCCGTCGGATGGCATCATGGTACTGCTTGGCTGCTGCGTTGGCCGTGTCATGGATATCGTGGTCAGTACCGCCTGCGCGTCGCATTGCTCTTGCACGGTTGCGCCAGTATGTGTATACCTGCCGCAGCTGTGTTAAATCCGATGTCCACCATCGCTTCGCCGTCGTAGGCCATGTCTGGGGCCTTGGTCTTCTTCTTGTTACAGTACTTGGCCCGATACTGGGTCTAATCGGTGTGTTGAGCTGGGCCACGCCGTTTGGTGCCGTGCTCTGGGCTGCCCTTCCGAGCAAAGAGCGAGCTCTGGAAAAGGCTCGTGAAGGGCAACTGGCAGAGGAAAGAGTCATGGAACTTGAGACAAGGGCAATTGATGCACTGAACATCCACCATCGCAACTGTTTGGAATCCATGCACATACTGCAACGAGGTATCTCAGTCAATGCGTGGGAAGGGGATATTCACGTTGAACGTATATTTGAGCTACGTCGAGAGCTTTTGGAGTGGTCACTACGCATCACGAGAGATCTACATGAACGACACCAATCATACAACAAAGCTGAGGAAGTGTGGCGCAGGGTCGAAGATGTTAGGAATGAGGTTGCTGACAAAGAAGATAAGGAGTTCTGGGATCCCATAGTTGCAGTGGTTCATACCGAAAGGGAACGGGCTGACGAGGGTAGTAAACAGTCATGCTGTAAAACAATGTAGATTGGCGAACTATGGAAGACGCTTATAACCCTGACAAATTAAAGGCAACCCAATATGTACGTAATGCCTCAGTTCAGGACTGCAGTTTAGTCATTCATGCACTAAAGTGCGGTGCGAGCCATGAGGTGGAGGACCAGGCGAAGTAATTCTCTGTATGGGTAGATCTTCACTGTTTATTCGAGCCAATCATGGAGCAAGACTGTAGGTACTGCGTAGTACATACATCGCTACCGCAATGTTCGGGTACTTTTCATCAAAAGTGCAGGTTCGCAGCAAATGTGTCTCGAGTTCTGGCGGACATGATGCCTTTTTTTGGAGGTTGGGATGCCGCTTTTGGAGGCCAACTTGCGAAGCGCTGGCCGCCAGACCCCCACACCACCATGACTGTTGGGCGCACTCCACTCAGTAGCGCTCATTAATTTTAATGGGAGCTCGGCGCATATAAGTCAACTTCAGTACCAGATTGTGCCAGATTATTATCATGGACATACGTTTTTCAAGGCTAAAAAAATGGCGGCCACTAAGGCACCTGTTCGTACTCAACGCCCTCCAGAATACTACCGATCAAAACGCCAACGACTTGCTACAGATGAGGCCGTCAAGAAGCGACATGCCCCCACGACCAAAGTCAACATGCATGGTGTCAAACTGAAATGGACAAGGTAAGGATGAAGTCTTCAGAAGTTGAGTGGTATTTCAAGTTGACAATTTAGATACTCAAATAGAGCGAAGAGGTACACAGATATCATTCATCAAAATTCAATCATTGATATGCTGTAGATGTAGGAATTGCCGCACAAAAGTTCTGAAGCTCTCGCCGAAGACAAGCTCAATGGACAATACGTACGTACGCAAATGTATTCACTGGATCCCATGCTTATACTGCGAGGCAGAATCTACGCATATCTACTTAAATAACAGCCGAAAGCATAAAAGAAATGGATTTCGGCGATAGATCTACAGCGTATCAGGGCCCAATACCCCTCGCCGATGTCTTGTCCTCGGAGCTGAAACAACGACGACACGGAAGCAAGACGGTTATTTCAGGCACCTACGCCCACTACAAGAAACAAACGTTGACTAATCTGAGCAGTCTCTATGTGCGGTGCTATGCGGGACGCCTTAGTCGCGTGGCATGAGGCTGCAAATCCCTCCCCCCCTTCCCCCCCCGGGCAGCCCGGGCAGCCTGAACCACCTTTTGCCGTGAACTACAGTACGACGCTCCACGCGAATAGTGAGGCGGCGAGTTAACTCGCAAACAGGCTTGCTGGTAACGCTGTGGTTACTGCAGTTGTATAAGCGGGGTGCGCTAGACATGCATGCACGTACCAAGTACTTTTGTAAATTATCTGATCCTTTGTGTCTCGGTCGGGAATAAACATCGTCTTCGCCCGGTCTTTGTCTAATTTGTTAGCTTGCAGCACGCCTCGGGGCTTTGTAGCGCCACGCCTTGGAGCGCCTTACTATAAGCCTTGCGACCTGAGACAACCACATGCTTGCGCACTGTACAAAATCTCGCACACTTATCTTGTATCATGAAGGAGCTTATATCCAGGGACTTCAATTAGTGTGACGGCAGAGCGGTTTTAAGACCAAGCCTCTTGATTGAATCGCTGCGCTGGAGGCTGAGGGACGCTGCGCAACGGGTAGCGGCGGGCGCTGCCTGGATCGATGGAGGAGCGGACTAACCAGGATGTTGTAGATAGACCCATCATTGGAAGCTACGAACAAGTGTCTGTCTACGAGACCGGATTCTTGTGGTCAGTTCACCTGCATCATGCAGCCGCATGGCCACTAGACACGTAAGGCGGCCACGGTGGTCTGCGGTCCAGTGTGCGACCCAGGCTATGTTCTCTCGCACGAATCATCTTCTATATCGGCCTTTTGATATACACGTTGCGCTGCAAAACGCACAGCGGCTCGGACTGCAAGTTTCTGCTAACTAGTCTGCCTCGCATGTAAGGCATAGAAGCTGGTAGAATATCAGGGGGGTTTGGGCATGTGAAGGATCTTTAATAATTGAATAGGTCAGGAGTGTCGTCATTCGGGCGATTACCCGTTCGGGAGCTCATAAGGTCAGGGGTAGTTATAGAAAGTGGCAGGCATAATTCGTTTATTAGTCGCCCAGTTGCTCCGCAAGGCTGACAGACACCTGTCTCAAACCTGATATAATATTTATTTACGTCGCACAGCCGCTGCATCTCACGCATCTGCCAGTCTACCCATTCCCACTTCGAAGAATCCAGCATGACCGAAGAGACTCAAGGCTTAATGTCTACCAAGGTCGAACGCAGCGGACACAGGCCAGCCAAAGATGGGCCTACTGCGAAGGACGTGGTCGAAAAGGAGCCTTCAACGACACTTCACCGCCACCCTGACATAGCTATTCTCACCGTCCTATTTGCCATGGTATCAGCAGTCTCATGGACTCTAATCTGCGTCTTGACTTATAGACCGATTGGCGAGAGACTGGCCGGATTGCACGATTTTTATGCGCAGAGCGAGCGCTACCTGCGGGCCGCCTGAGTGCTCCAGGCCATCGCGTCGATGCTCGTCATTCCCTTGACTTCTACTGTGGTAGCCCAGGCGGCAGTGGCCTCGCTGCAGAAACAACACACGAAGCGTGGTGAAAGCCGGCCGACGCTGAGACAGACTGTTGCGTTGGCAGACAAGGCGTGGACCGACCCCACCACTCTCAGGAAAATTTTCGCGAAACGGCGTTGGAAGCAGTACACATCGCGGCCATTCATATATGGCCTTCTTCTGACTGCGTTAGGTAAATGCCACACGACGTCTACGAAAGTGGAATACTAACGGGGCGTTCATAGGCGCATTGATTGCACCGCTCCAGAATATACTGTTGTCGTATCAGACTATCAAAGCACCCGGTCCTGGAGATTTGAACTTCATTACCGATTTCTCCGACATCAATCACAGTGATTTTGGCGATCACCAGCAAGTAGTCTCCACGCTGCGAGGCACATTGGCCGCCGCTCACCGAAATGATGCTCAACCCAGTCTATGGTCGAGTAACACGGGCGGCAGAAGACCGCTCTCAAATCAAAATACGCTTTCCAACATGTCCGCTTTGTCGGATCCATATTGGGCGGAGATGTCCCCAACAATCAGCACCGGCCTGTCTCACCAGCTTGCTCCTCGCATAAATTCTACTGTCACGTCTCAGTCATCATCATCCACCGAGTCCTTTCCGCAGGACCGCGAAAGTCGCTCTGACTGGATTTACTTGCGCTACACTCAATTAAACACATTAAATGATACATTCTTTTACACGTTTGAGGTGTGTTGGCCAGGAAACATGAGTGCGTCACCGTGGAAGAGCGCGTCAACTAGGCAAAATTTCTTAGAAGATATTTATATTCGTGCCAACTATTCAATCACCGAGCCAGCGATACTTGCATCAAAGGTTCTGAAAACTGGCATTTACTCAAGGAAAATCACTGTGAATACCACATTTGGGTGTTTTGAGTTGCCAAATTACATGAACAATGGGACGGCGGGGCCTCTTCTTCACGATAACCGCTCAGGCAACTGTGGGCAAGCCCGCAAGTGGCTAACTTCTCCATCGAAGCGAAAATCTGAGGAGGAAATTCTTGAGTCCCAGAAACTTGAGAGAATGCCAGTTATGGGACCACTCGTTTCTTTTAGCCTGGCAGTATTTGGCCCGGGCAGCTTCCCAGACATGGCCCACGCCCTGGAAGAATATGCCCGGAAATCTAAGCTCGCCCCCAAGTATTGCGTGCTCATGCTAGGGCTGATCGATCCATTGAAGTCGTGGCCTAACGGAGAAACCCGATGCATAACGCTGAGCCCTGACACTGTAACGCAAATTGACATACTACGGGCACGTTACCTGTTTCTATTCTTGCAGGACACGGAAGACACAAATAATGCTCTGAATTCGGCAATGTTTCTCGCAAACGAGTCCGTCATGAAGTCCACTACGGGTCAGCATAGCCTCCTTATTTCGCGTCATATGGGCCTTGACCTGCAGACTCCTGTCATCAGCCTCGCAGGCATTATTGTGATTTCTGTGCTGCTGGCCGTTGATCTCGCATGCCTACTCATTCTTGCCTTCAAAGCCGCTTTGATCCCGCGATGGACGGCCCGCTTGGACGGATTTACCATGATGTGCATTGGCGCGTCGATATCAGACACGCTGCCTTTGCGGGTTTGTCACGACCGCGATGCTCTGAGATTCCTTGATGAGACCCCAGGGTGGCTCGGCGAGAGAAACATGCAAGGCGCCGAGAATGAAGCAGACGAGGAAGAAACTGGTGTCCGGGACGTTATGCTCGGCGGCAGCGAAGGACTGAGAAGGGGTGTTAGATACCGTTGCTATCCTGCGGAAAATGAAGGTCCTACGCCGCCTCCAAGGGTAATTGACGGCGTAACATATCCGCGGCATGCATCTACATAATGCTAGATGATGTACTATTGCTTTGGCTTGTACAAGTTTGACTTTAATAATATGACTGGCCGCCATCAGAAACTTGCTACTTCAAGCGCCACTAGTCATGCAGCTCGACAGCCATCTTGGATATTGATAGGCTACAACAGATGAAATAGCCCACATAACGATTTTTTGTACACGAGACTAAAACTCGCCCAATGATAACGAGGCACAATACGACTTGATGGATAGACACACACAGCTAAGGGATGTGGGCACTAATACAAGCAACGTGCCAAGCGGGTAGTTTCCCCTAAGCCGGTTAGCAAGCTGCCAAGTGAGGAGGTATGAGATGAGAAATAAGAGATGGGATAGCTAGAATAGCTGGAATCGGCAAAATTGGGCTTACCTGGGCATTCAGATTGCAACAAGCTTGCGCAAACGGAGAGTGAACGAGCTGGGGCGGGTGTAAGATGTTGCTTCTAGAAAGTCATGGGAGGAAGAGAGCGAGCAAAAGTATTCGAAGGGACGATCGAGAACAAACGAAGAACAAGTGAGATTATGAGCGTAAGAAATCGTTACTGCCCGAGTGTGGGCGACCGAAAAGGAAGAAGGGGGGCGGGGGGGGGGGGTGAGGGCGTACTAGGGGGTCTTGGGGATGGAAAGGAAAAAACGGCCTGGCGGACGGCGCAAGCTAAGCTTGTTGAGCTAGTTAACTTGTTATTTTTGAAGCCATATACAGGGGTTAACTTCAAATTGATTGTCAGACCGCCTTTCTAGGTTGCTAAGCGGATTGATGTAGTGAGTGATGAGGTCGGCGGCTGCAGTTTGCGCCTGGGAGGGGATTGCTGTCAACAGATCGCATGGCCCACGCGCCCCTCGCTCAGCCTAGACATTAATGTTAGATTGTATCCTGCAACCTGCAACATGGAAGGAAACACAAGGGCTGTGCTGGGCTGACATCCATCAGCGCTTTTGCGACAAGTTTGAGGAACGCTCGAAGGAATCCCTTCAAGTGCGATACTGTACAAAGCTGAAACGTCGCGATCATAGTTGACCTAACGCGTTCCCCACGTCGCAGTCGATAGAAACGTGTGCAGATAAACCCATGGGGAAGCTATAAAACTATATATAGCTACAAGCAATCCTACTTGTCGTGTCTAACGCGCTCCCTTCTGACGCAACACCAACACATGCGAGGCGTCGTGACACCGGGTGCCCATCTGAAAGCACTCGCCACAGAGGTCGACATCGTCACCTTGGCAAGTAATGCAATGATAGTGGGTGCCACCTTCCAACATATATCGAGTGCAGCATTTGCACCAGGCCGAAGATTCACCAATCGGCGTCGCTCTAGGCTCCACGGCCAAGTCCTCGTCGCAGACTTGAATGCCTTCGCTTTTGGTAAGCTGAAGAACGGCCTCGATTACTTGCGCATTTCCACTCTTTGAAGCCCACCACAGTAAAGTTCGATCCAAACCGTCAACAAAACTACCGTAGTCACACCCCATGGCAAGTAGATATGCAACAACTTTCTCATGGCCGTTTCTTGTAGCAGCAAAGAGCGGGGTTGCACCATAGCGGTCTGTAGTAGTTGCCGCAACGTTACGGGACGATGATAGATGTTCAACAACTTCCATGTGTCCCCTCGTGCAGGCATAGAAAAATGGCGATCGCCCTTGATCATCCATGACCTCAGCAAGAGATCCATTCTCTAGAAGTAATTTCACAACTTCAAAATGCCCAGAATAAGAGGCTGCGTGAAGTGGCGTCCATCCGTTATTGCTCGCAACAGTGGCAATAGCCCCTTTCTCGAGAAGCAGTCTGACCACCTCAGCATGTCCACTATCAGCAGCTGTGTTTAGTGGTGTCCATCCGTCCTTACTCGTGACAGTGACATCAGCCCCCTTCGCAAGAAGCAGATTGACCACCTCGACATGACCACTACCAGCAGCCGCGTTTAGCGGCGTCCATCCATCGCTACTCGCAACATTAACATCAGCCCCCTTCGCAAGAAGCAGCTTCACCACCTCGACATATCCACTACTAGCAGCCGCGTTTAGCGGTGTCCACCCGCTGCTACTCGCAACATTGACATCAGCCCCCTTCGCAAGAAGCAGCTTGACTACCTCGACATGTCCACTATCAGAAGCTGAGTTTAGCGGCGTCCATCCGTTGTTGTTCGCAGCAGTGATATTCATTCATTCATTAACAGCTTCAGCTCCCACTCTATCTTTCAAATTTAGCGTGCGCTGTAACAGCTAAAAACGAGCGGCTATTAGTGGGTGTCTACAGGCCATCACGCTAAGCAACAGGCGCCTTAGGCTAGTGGGCCTACCTTTTTTTTTTCTATAGTGTAAGTGAGGGGATGAATCTGATTATGCACCAACCACGAGACGTCTTGAGAACAAACACCACGCACAGATTGCAACACTAACCAACCACTAACCCACGCCTAACCTATAGCCCGCCTGTTCACATCTCGTGCCTGATGCAGCAGACACCTCTTTAGCTGCCGAAAATAGGATACTAAACACTTGGGGAAGAAGTCCTCAGGCAAGTCCGCTCAGAAAATACCGCTCACGAGAAATCGCGACAGTAAAGGCAATAGCTATGAGGAGCAGACATTTCATGTCATGACTCATGGGCTTTTTGAGTAACAGCTTAGCTTCAGACTGGATACATAGCATAGGCTTATAGTTGCCCTCTTGGACTTCTCCACCGGGCGTAATAAACTGAATGAATGAATGAATGAATATCCGGATGCACACACTACAGATCTGCTTCTCATTAGCCACGGTCCTAGATAAATTCGATCACCCCCGGAGGGCTCCAAGCAGAAGCTATAAAATTCCAGCGTGGGGTGACGAACGTAGTGAGGAGACCCAAGTGCAGCGTAGCGAAACGACGTTCAATGTCGGGCAAGATACTGGCTACCAACAACATCACGTAGACACCGGGCTACCAACAACAAAGCGACGGGAGGAGCATCATTCAGCGACCGTAGGGAGCGATGGTTGTGGCTCTACCCTCACTGCACAGCCACGGGTGGTGCACACCCAAAAGCAACTGGGCCTCGAATCCGAGCAGATTTGGCGTGGGCCTTCAAAGAAAAATCTGTTTTTAATTTTCTTGAAAATCAAAAGGAGGTACTCCGGTTAATAGCGAGGGACGAGCGCAGGGGAGTGGAACGACCCAAAACACGACGGGGGAGTGTTAGTGCCGAACGTGGTGAGGTACCTGTGGCCGCCGTATTCTTCTATGTTTGGTAAAGGCGGCCCAAGGGCCCAGGCCCAAGCACGCTGTCCCTACCCATGCACATGGGGTCCTACCCGAAAATGACCGTAGGGAATGAAGGGAGTCATAGCAGAAACGGAGCCGGAGGTGGAGATCTGTGCATGGGGCTCTGCCCCACACCCAACTCGGACTCTGGACAGTACGAGATTCCTATAAGAACAGGCAGTTCCCCCCAGACAGGGCACCGATAGGTTTTCCTCTCTTTATACCTGCGTGGACACAGCCATCCGCGTAAGCGCTTCTGATCCTCCTCTTGCTCGTGAGAGCTATTCGTAGAAACAACCAGGAGACGGAGTGACTACGGGGAGAACCGTCATTGTGTACGGTGCAGGATGCCTTGGATCGAAGATACTTCGGTGGATGAGCCCTGGGACGGGTGGCATGTTGGAGATGCGGAGCGCCCGCTATCGGTAGGTAGTTGGACGGAGGACGAGGAAGAGTATGTTTCTTGTGACGAAGGGAACCGAGGTTCAGAACTGGATGTGGTCACGGAGTGTACGCCTAGTTTGTATACACAGTTGTCTGGCCGTGATGGTACGGTTGTGTTGCGCTTTCGTAGTGATGACAACGAACCGGAGGTGGTGGATGTGTCCCCCTCAACACTGGCTGTCTTTTTCCTTTTCCAGGATGTGGCACAGCGGGAAGCTTGCTGGTATATGCTACAGAGAACGCTAAAGGCGTCGGCAGATGCCTGGCTAGACAAGGAGTCGTTGCATTTGTCGCGAGGCAACGGAGTGCGCTGTGAATGCGAGGGAGTCTCGCTGGTGCTTCTGTTCTCTCTACCAACCGCGCTGACAGGTCATTATACGCATGCGGAGTTGGACCGCAAACTGGAGGACGTCCTGGGTTGCCCCCCGAGTCGGCGTAAGAGGATCAATGTGACACTGAGACGCGCTACCTTGATTTCGTACGAGCTGGTGCCGGAGGATACGCGGAACTACTGGTTGTTGCACCGGGAGGAAGCATTAGGTGTCTGTAGTAAAAGCTCCATTGTCGGGCAGATCGAGCCATGTAAGGAGGAGACGATGGATAACGAGACAGGCTAGGATGTCAGAATGGAGACTGTGAATAGCGTCATCTTGTAGACCCCGCGACACTCACCTAGGCTACCAATAGACACGATAAAAACAGTAGGCCTCTTGCACACACTACCGATCTGCTTCTCATTAGCCAAACACGTAGATTGTCCTGATCACCGCCGGAGGCCCCCAAGCAGAAGCTATAAAATTCCAGCGTGGGGTGACGAACGTAGTGAGGAGACCCAAGTGAAGTGACCGAAGGGAACGGAACGACGTTCAAGAATCACGAAGATGCTTGCTACCGATAGACGGCCTTATAAAGGGCCTCTACAATGTTATAGTGGATCGCTATAACTAAAGGAGGAAAACAAAGGACTATTAAACGTAGTGTATCGTTAGATAGGTCCAGGCTAGGCAAGCTACTTTTATCTATAGAGAGTAGGTAGGCAGGGTGTGCACGTAACGGCGCTAGAGGGGTGTGAGTCACACCCACTAAAAATAGCAGCCGCCCCACCAGTCTTTCCCACTAAAGGCGGCGACGTTTATCACCAGATTCAGTGGGCTAAACCGGCGCACTTAGCTTTATTCTAAAATCTTTTATAGAGTAGTTTCTACTAAATAAATTTATATGTATTTCTATTAGTTATATATTAACTTAATAAGGCTTTTATAAGAGGTAGAAAAAGGGTGTTTTATATATAAAATGCCTGCTAAGATGTGGGTGGTGCTAACAAGTGGGTGGCCGACGTTAGTCGTCCACTGGCGATTGCCTAGTTAATTGGTTGTTGCCTATGTACTGTTTGGCGGATCCGATTTGTGAGTGATTAGCGCTAAAGCCACAAAGCCAACGGGCTCGTACCAAGCAGCGCTCTTTTGGCACCGGCGGCACTCTCCGCGTCGGGCCTCTGAGACTACAGCTGCCGGCGCGCGTGGCGTCGATCGGAAGTTAGTATTCTAAGCTAGTTATTATCCGTGTCTGTTGTCAAGAGCTTAAAAACGAACCACAAGATGCAAACGCCTCAGCTGAATCCTTGATCGGATGTTCTGTGCCGAATATTAACGAACTACCACATCCCTCCATAAGCATGCACCACCCACTCCTGCTCCAAGATGCCGCCCAACATTCCAGTCCATAGTCAGTCACCAGTTGCGAGCGCTGTACATACCAGGCGCATAACACAGTCTGGAACATGACTATGAGTAGTTGCATTTTTTTCAAGTGGCAACTCATCCATGAATAGGCTTTTAGTTCTCTGGCTGATATTTCAGCCTCGAATCTGCCAGAACTCTAAATCACGCTTGATAGGCGTCAGAATTGCTTCAAGTGGACGAATTTTCCAGCTGATACTGAGGCGTAGCCAATCGTGGGCTTAATGGCCTCGCCCCGGCAAATGGAGTTCGACTATCTGCTGGCCTGTCATGGCCCTCAAGCGCAAGTGGGACATATAAAATCCGTGAAAGTTCTCTCACACAGGGGAATTTCATCGCGCACCGGACAAGATTCGCTAACTCTCGTCTGCTTCTACAAATCACACTTAAAAGTTATCTTCTCGAGTTTGTACTCTCATCGGTATCATCAATGTATAGTATACAACAGGCTAACAGACTGCTAGCTGTTTCGACAATGAGTTCACAGTCATCTCATTTCGCTGTAGTGCCTATCGTGATACATATACTATCACTTAGGTCAGCGTTTGCCTCCATCTTACCACTACAGAAGGCAATGCACGAGGTTACTACATTAACTAGTCCTCTGGACCAAAGCCAATTTCAGTGTTCGCCCGGTCCGGTCTGCGTATATCGGGATTGCTGGCAGGGACAATACCGCAGCTCTTTCGAGTGTCTTGGGCCTTGGGATTCCTGCTATGGATGCATCGTCCAAGACGCTTGGTCATATATGTGCTGCGGACAAACTCCACCCATCACCGAGGACGGACCGATCCAAATCGTGCCCGGCCGGTGCTGTCTTGGGTTTGATTGCAACCCGGGTTGCCAGAACCTTATTGACACCACCGGCTGTGCTGGGGTCGACTTCTACATTGGCCCTAAAGACCGTGTATCTGTTCCAGGGACAAACCTCGTGCAGTTTGTATCAGGAGTCGACCACCGAGCAGGAGATTGTACGATGCATCACCCCACAGTTTTTACCCTTGACGAGGACGTTGGGGTAATCACCGTGCAAGGTAAATTTAGTACAAGGAGCTCAATCTCCGGCGATGTATATCACGTCGATGTGGACGCATTGGACCATCATGGCGAAAAGATATTTCATGTAAACTGGAATATCGGCCCTCTTTGGGGCAACCGCCCACTTACAGTGGCGCTGCCAGCCGATGCTGACAACAGTAAGCGCACCGCATATTTCCCGTATCAGCATGCTGCTAATTCTTTTAAACCGTAGGATTCAAAACTGCCAATGTCCACGCGCTTCGCGGCCATGGATGCTGTTAATAATAGTTTAAAAGCATCTAATATTGTGAAAGGTGCGTCAAGCAGGACCCATAGAGGTCATACTAAGACGCTGGCATTCTTATTATTAATCGGAAAATAGCCTGGCGGTTATCGTCTCTATGCTAAAGTGGTTAGGCTAAAAGGACTGGCACTTCGGTTATTGTGTTAATATACCTGCAGGAATAATTTCGCTTGGGGGATGAAGTTGGTCCTTATTGGGTATTGAAGAGCAAGATTGACTTGGAAGTTGGTACAACTGAATAGGGCAAAAAGTGTCAGAGCTAGCTTAGATTGATACCTGACTCTGACATATTGAAATAAATGTACGCTACTCATGCGTTTAGAAGTGCCGCGCAACTCTTTCTGCAGCTTTTTCAAATGTTCGGCATAAACGGAGGCGTTTGCATTTTCTAGGCTCGTCGTACGTTCATTCAGCTGCATACTACGCGGGTGCTAAACTGATACGACAGGTGCTGTACAAGTCTTTGCAGCCTCTGGCCAGCTTCACCCGGCGCGAATGTAAGGGTCGTGGATTTAGAATCCCGCGCTCTGCTGACTAGTTAGCTTTTCCGCACCTCCTTCCTTAGCCTACTACAAAGCTTAGCCATGGCCCAAGCAGTATTCCCTGGCGACGTACTCCCGTCAGAAGGTGTATACGATTCCCGTGAATTGCTCCTTGGTGCTATTAACTCTTGGGCAAAGACCAGAGGCTATGCATTTACTACGGGAAAGTCGTCCAAGACTCCAAATGGTCGGGTGGAAGTCGGATTTGCTTGCGATCGCAATGGGCAGCCTCCAAAAGCCGATATAGAACGAAAACGGCGTACATGCACTCGAGGAACAGGCTGTAAATTCTTAGTGCTTGCTAAATAGTCATTGGACGGAGCTTCGTGAATCTTAAGCCACCGGCCTAGGAAGGAATTCGGTCCACATAACCACCCTCTAAACAGCAACTACGAATTTCCATCACGCTGGCACAACGGACCAATTTGGTACCGTAAACAAAAGCTGCCCGTTCTGTCGCAACTCCTCCGGGTCGAGATAGGCGCACATCCCCAACGACCCTCTCAAACCAAACACCCGCAGAATCATGTATACTTCTGATCGGTCTTGGCTCTGGTGCTTACTCTGCATCTAAATTTAGATATTTGAGTTAGCGCACACTAAGTCGCGAGGAGCAAGGTTAGGCAATCTGGACTCACCAAATCGTACTGGTTACCGCTCATGTAAAACGGTGTGCCGCAGTCGCTGGTTGTCGACTTGACTTCAATAAAGTACTTGGGGCGCGCGCCTTCCCACTCCGCGGAAGACAGATAGCCACGGTCAACCAAGTGCGCGGTGAATTCTCCGGTCGTATCGTCATACACGAAATCGGACGTCTCCCGATTATTCCATGGTTCAAGGTCAGTATAGTCTGGATGCACATTCACCCACGTCCGAATCCTACTCTGCCAGTTGTTGCGGCCCCAGCCAGGCAGATGAAGCGAAGACAAAAGTTCAAAAACCTGTTGATCTGATTAAAACACACGTAAATTGTGAGCAGGAATGGTTTTTACTCACATAGAGCTCGCCCGCTGCTCCGACCTTCAGATCGCGCTCATGCTGAGTGTTGGAACTGTATGCCTGTCCGACCTCATAACCGTGGAAGCTAGAGGTTCCAGCATCGTCAAATAGCGCCCCTCGCAAGCTATCCATGTTGAATACACCGGGTGAACCTCGTGAAGGGAATGAAGCTACCCTCGCGGAATTGACGACACGCTCCAAAATAGCACGATACCGGTCATTGCCCCCCGTCACCAGCGACGAAGTTGGTAGGTGCCATGTTTGCGTGGTGGAGAAGAGATCCGGTGTAAACGATGGTTCCTGCATAAATCTCTGGGGAGAAAAGCTGCCAAGATTGGAAGAATCCCTGAGCTGTGGACGCAGCGGAGGCTCAGAAAATGCAGCCCGTTCTCCCCTCATGTGGCTCTGAGCCGTCTCTTCGGTAAGCGTCTCAGTCTGGCTCTGTGCATCAGGCGTCAGGTCACCGTCGTCCTCCTCGTCATCATCGTCGCTGTCGTCATCAAACTCATCGACATTATCCACATCAGTTTGTAGTATTCCCTGGCGAGTTAAAATCTCATCCAGAACCCGGACATCGCACGACAAAACCAGGGAGAGAGCGCTAATCGCAGCAACATCCTCGCGATCTTCCACGCGCCCGTCTGGATATCCCTTGAGCCACCACAGGAGCTTTCGGGGCAGCACAGACGAGAAGGCAATCGATTGCACTTTCTTCTTCTTGGGCAAGTAAAACTTGAGCCCCGAATTCGACTCACCAATGTGGATATTGGGCGAGGAATCCTCAATAGGGATGGTCTTGCCGTTCTGCGACAGCTGGAGCGTTACGTGCATGTCGTCAGTCTCTAGTGTCTCGGCATCGCGCAGGAGTTGGTACAGTTCGTCTGGATCGTCCTGGTACTTTGGACTGCCGTAGGTAGCGGCCACGCTAAACATGTGAGAATACGTTATGCGATGCAAATGGATGAGCGACATACCGAAGGATGTAATAGGCTTTCCGGTGCAAATCTCTGCCGGACGCCATGACTATGTTGCCCGATTCTGGCGGCACCGAGGTAATCTCTCGTACGCTATTCGACAAAAAGCGACTCTCGAGTCCGAGCCATGAAAGAAGCGGACGCAATCGGTGAATATCTTCCAGGTCAAAATTCAGCAGCGCAACTTTACCGCCAAAGTGCTCTTGAAGATGTACACGGTCGGCAATCGCGAAATCTGCCTCAGCAGACCGCAGAACCGGCTCATTGTTTCCGTATTTAACAGGGAAGATCTTTGCGCCTCTCAGGGGATCCGGGCCGCGCGCCGCGCTCTCGTCCCGAAGAAGATTGGACAGTGCCAGCAGCGAGACTGTAATATCATCCATCGACATGCTCTGTGGCGCTTGTACTAGCTCATCGTAAACCATGTCGAGGGTGAGAGATTTGACGCCCATCTTGGAGACAAAAAAGCTCTCCAGATCCTCATAGTGAGCGTCGAGCGTCACCTTTCCGCGAATTGGTGCCGAGCTGGACCACAGTGTGTCCGAGGTCTTGTACCAGCCGCGCTGGCCCTGCGACTCTACCATGATGAGGGCGTTGTTTCTAAACGCAGAGCTACCAGACTATTAGGGGGGAAATCGGAATAAACGGAAAACTAGGCTCGAGACATACCTCATCTTGGTGACTGAGTACCTCGATTTGTCCAAGTACTTGTAAAGCTCCATAATATTCTCAGTGCCTTCATCGTCTTCTCGGATAGCTTTAAGTTCTTCGATGATATCATCTAATGATGCGGATGGAATCTCCAGTGTTTGGTGAAATAGCTGCTCGATGACAGCAAGCTTGTCCCCGACCGTTCTCTGGTAGAGAGGCTGCAGCGCTGGCCTCTTCCGCATCTTGAGTGGACCACGCCACACGTAATCATATAAACCTCCTTTCATTGTGTCTTCCGAATCAGAAGCAAAGATGCAGCTGTCCTCGAAAAACTCTCTGACAGAAAATTAGTATACAGTGCGTCGAAAGTAGAGAAGAGCTTACTTGAGGCTTTTCGTTGCGGCAACTGAATCGTTTTCGACGGCATGCTTCATGGCGATGACAACATAGAGATCGTAAATACGCTGAAATTGCCCAAGTGAAAGGTCTCTAAAGACATCATTAATTCGTTCAATAGACTTCAAAATTTCCAAATAGAACTTGAGACTGTCTTCCGAGCCCACTCCAAAGTTGTTGGATAAAAATCCCCATTTAGGGTCCAACTGCCCCGTCGCATCCGACGGCACCATATCGAGGAATGGGAAACCGTAACCACCATCATCATCGGAGATGTACTGCTCGACCTTTGCTTTGAGCGCCTTGTGTGGGAGCCAAGTATCCTGCAATGTGACACTATACTTGACTTGACATAGGTCTGATGCCTCAATTCCGCGCATTTTCCGCATCCAGACGCGATTTGCAAGCAATTGCGAAGCTTCATGGTTCCATACATGTTCCAATAATCCCAAAAAGGATTCGAGGCGATGCTGCAGCACGAACGACAAGGCGTCAGAGAGATCATTCCCGTTCGGGGCCACGAGACGCAGACGCTCTCGTACCCCTACAAAGTCATAGAGCCATCTTTCCCAAGTTGGATGATCCGAAGACGGCAGACTTGGGACTTCCAGCATGTATATATCTAGTGTAAACTTGACATCGATGCCGGAATCTGGGCTCGTTTCTGCCAGCAGGACCCTTGCGCTGTATGGATCTGTGGAAGACCAGAGATAAATGTCATTTCGTTGCACTGCAGTCCACTTATTGTCATTTGTAACAATAAAAATCTGAGCAGAACTCATTTTTGACGATGAGTGACGATGTGTGCGATATAAAAAATGTAGGTGTGCTCGGATATCTGAGTAGAACTGTTGTGACTGCTTAGCATTCAGACGAATGATGGACGATTGAATGAACCCAATGCTAGCCTCGGAAGCCCCTAAAAGACGAAATAAGTCCATTCGATGGCGGTTCTGACACCCGTCTTGACTAAGAATGTCCAGTTCTAGCTTAAGGGGGATGGGAATGCCCTCAGCAACCGGAAAGTAGACAGTGGAGGCGTTCGCGCTCGTCCACTTTCCGTTGCTTAATGGCAGCAATGGAAGCGACCGAAGTCTATCAACTAACCAGCCCTTTTCAATAAAAGAGCCAAGGAGAAGTGAAACCGCGGAATGCCATTCTTCAGGACATGCTTCACTGTGCATGCGTGGTTCTTGGCTTTGCATATCCTGCTCAACCAAGTTTAAAAGCTCACCACAGTGAGCAAGCTTTAACCCGTATCCTGACAAAATTCTCTGTAACTTGGGAAGATACTTTGAAGATATAAAGATGTCTTTCTCTTCGTCGTTGAATAGTGGCTCGCCATTGACATGGAAGTCACTTGGGACGCGCCGAACGTCGTCAATGCGTCGAAGCTGATGCAGTGACCGCGACTTCAAAATCTGCGCTTCGGCCAGTCTCTGCTTAATTTCGGCGTTAAGACCGGCCCAGAAATCATCCCAGGTGTTTTCGTCCGAATTTGGTAAGAACACCGGCCATTGGTAGCACAAAGTCGGATGCTGACAGAATTCGAGAACAGCGGTTACAAATGCAGTCGCGATCCATTTTCTCAGTTCGCAGTTGCGCTTAGATGTGACAATGATTCCTTGGCGGTTGCCTGTAGTATCAAAGTCCGATTGGATAATAAACTTTTTAAATGTCAGAACAAAGGACAGAAGAAAGAAAAGGGTAAGCCACAGAGAGGCACACTAACCTTGTAGTCATGAAAGCAAAGGGGTAGGAAAGCAAATAATTCTTGTCGGGAATCGCATTTTGGTTCGTACAACTCATTCAGTGGAAATGCCAAGATGACTTCTGCCGATGAAACACCGGCCATCGCTGTCGCGGAACCCGATGTAGTGCGGCCGACGCTCTCCGCCAGGTCCCGAGCTTTCTGCTTCGTGACATGATAAACTTCGCATGTCGTGGTGTCGCCAACCACGGTAACAATATTGCGTGTGAGCTTAGTGCGATATTCGTCAAACTTGTTCTTCGCAAACCGAGTTGTCTTGAGAAGCAGATCTTCATCGCCATAGTGCTGAACCTGAATACGCTGCAAATTCTTGAGAAACAACAGGCAAGACTCTTGTAGGCTGTCCAGCTGATTGACAATGATCTCACGCAGGTCATCAGCGTCTGCCTCATCGTCGTGTAACCACAGTGTCATGCGAGTGAGCGGGCCAGGCAGTTCTTCCGCAGGCTCGACCCAGATCGGCCTGACCATGCCAAGTCCTGGATCCTCTTTTTTGTGCTCAAATTTGAAAGAAAAATTGCCGGACTGGATGTAGACTTTTGAGGCCGCGATGAAGACTGATTTGAAACCAATTCCCTTGGCGCCGATGTAGCCGTACTCGGTCGACTTGGTGCTCTGACCAACGTCGCAAATCGCCGTCAAGTCGCGTTCGGTGAAGCCGTCTTCATTGCACTCCACTATGATCTTTGAGCGATAAACCTTGAAGGTAATGTATGGAGCTGTGGCTCTTTTGGCTGCTTCAGAAAATTTGTTGTCATCGGCGTTCTGCAGCAGCTCGAACACGAAGCGTGCGTCGCTGCCATACAGTTCCTTGGCCAATCTGAGCTGCAGAATCAATAAAGCGGCCAACAGGCGGAGGGTAAATCAAAGGTATAGAGGAGGTCTCTTACGTCTTGATAGAATGGGAGGCTGCGTTCTCCAGAGACAGGAAGGTGCGGTCCAGCGCACGACGATATTCAGGGTTCCAGGCCTCGATCGCCGTCATCATAGTAGCGTCGGGGAGGCCCCATTTCTCCCCCAGTTTCTGCACAATATCCCTTGCCTGTGCGCTGGATATATGTTTTCCCATTTTGTTTTCTGTGTTTTCTTTTTTGCGAATTTTCAGAGGTATTATCTCGCCATGTATGAATGAACTGTGCAAAGATGTTTCGGTGCCAAGATTTGTCACCCTTTTGTCTTCTGTTGTCGGGTGCAAGTGAAGCGGAAGTGGGCAGCTCGGGCATCACCTTGCCTATTGACAGGGGAGCAGAGCAGCCTTGAAATAATTCGCCAGCCACTCCTTATTAACGACAGCTCATAATTTTGTCACACCCGAAATAGTAACTTACAAAGTCTGTGGGGATAGTTGCAACAGCGGTTGTAGCCTGATTCTTGTTGGCCAACGCCAGGTCTGTGGCGTCATAATGTGGGCAACGGTTGCGGCACGGCCCGGTAGGTCATTGTGGTACAGTATAGCACAAGTGTGCGGTAGCATTGGGAGTAGATAGCGTAAATAATGTATCGTTTGTATTTGCAGTGTCCCAAAGAGCTGCGAGCGGCAGTCCTGCGTGCCTGTGACTGGAGACGGTGGCTGATGACTCCTGATAGCTACGTGGATATAGCGAAAGCGATGTACAATGAGGATGAAGACGCAATGGTTTTCCTTCCTACATGTCCATATATATACCCATGTCCATATATCAACCGTGCACGACATATGCAGAGAGCGGCGCAGTGTTGTCGATGAACTGTGAATGATGATCTCCTTGTCTTGTAGCCGCGCAAATTGGCCACTTTTCGACATCATGTCACTTTCAGTGAGAGAAGGTGAGAGGGTATTGATAGGAGATGAAATACGATATTGATTGCATCATTTTGAACTTCGAGTTTTGCGTTAAGCTTTCACAGGCCTACGATTGAGTACAGTACCCCCACAGGTTCTGCGCGTCGAATAGCAATTTGCCAGAAACATTCTCTATCGATATCAAGGGGGTGTTAGTTCGAGCTAAGATGCATCGAACTGTGAGAGCGAGCCCCTGTTCAAAGTGCGATGGAGGCCTTGGGAGTCTGTTACGAGATGATTGTTTTCTTCCGTCACGAATATGCACCTGGCACTTGGACGTAGCAAGCATCATCGTTTTCGCAAGAGTACACAGTGCTAGAGTTGCGGAAAAGCCTTCATTCGTCAACTATTAATCTTTATCGACGTATGCAGTCATGGTGGAGGTTTTTTGACACCTTCAGCAGCGTCGTAGAGCATTGCTCACGAAGCTCGGTGCCTGGATCGAGGACCCACTGCGGCAGCTGCTATGTATTGATGGCCAAGGTATAGATCAGATCTGCCGGCGATGCATACGTGCCAAACCCAGTTTTGAGGGCGCGTAAGAAACAGAATAATAATTATTCGTCTTCCTGGCGTGCTTTTGGAGCAGCACCGCATTAGAGAAGATTGGTCTGCTTATTCTCTAGTTCCATAGTATTTTGCTTTGGTACATACAGTATCGCGGGTTTCTAGCATAATAATTTTAATGAGGTGTATTTTGGCTGCTGCCTAGAGCTAGAAATAGCGGTTCTGACTGACCCCGCCAGGTAACAAAATTTAACTAAAAGCACTAGCGACACCCATAACTATTTTTACGTTATGTACAGTATCGCGGTCATCCCTCGTCCTTTATGAGCCGCTCAACCAATTTTGCCTCAGCCATCAACGGCTTGCTGGAGCTTCCAGTCCCCTATTGGCGGTAGAAAGTGCAAAATGGCAAGGAAAGGCTCCTTTGAGAACTATAGATAACCCGAGCTCCGAGACTAGTTGCTCGCCAGCTTCTACTTCTTCATTGTACCCTCGCCTCTGATGGTTCCCTTCAATGTCAACCTCCACCTTGCAGGTGTTCTTGCTGCTGCTGCTACTGCGCTGGCAGGCTTCAACCCGGAATCTGGCCAGAATACCGCTGTCGTTGGGCTCTGGCGGCCGCTACAAGGTCAGAGGGTCATGGATCTGGCGGTTGTATACGGGAAAGAAGTGGCAAAATTGTTCAATTCGCCGCCGTGGAATCCCGAGGTGCTTGACGTGGATGTGATCTGGCCGGAATCTACATACACCGTACAATACACACCGCTCCCTACTGCCGCCTTGTCTGCCTTCATTTCGTGGTCTTCCACCTCCACCGGCTCCCTCACGACTACAATGTACCTCAAATTCCCAACTTCTGTTAGCCGGTATGAAACCAGTCCGACGGCCGGCACCTCTCCCTCGCGCAGCACGGCCACAGAAACCACCGCAACGAAGTCCACGTCAGCATCCGCATCCGTTTCAACGTCTGATTCAGAGGCTAGTTTACCGTCGAGTTTAATGTCTAGTTCAACGTCTAGTTCAACGATGAGTCCAGGATCGATTACAACGTCTAGTTCAACGTCTAGTTCAACGTCTAGTTCAACGCCTAGTTCAACGTCTAGTTCAACGCCGAATTCAGCGTCGAGGTTACCGTCTAGTGCAACTCCAACTTCAGTGCCTACTTCAACGTCACATTCAACCCCTAGTTTCACATCTAGTCCAGCCTCTGCTCTAACCTCTACGTCGAGCTCAGCGTATAGTGAGGCACCAAGTCCGATGACAACAGGGCTCATCCAGGAAATTTGCAGTTCATGCTATATTACCGCGGGCACGGAGCACAAGTTCTCTTGCCAGTGCGGCAGGAATCTTGTTAACGGAGATTTGAACGACTATGTATGGAATGACCAAGGCGTTCTCAAAGCTGGTCACGGGTTAGTGCCTTTTCTTACTCCCTCCATTGACTACCTGTACTAACAAGAAGTAGTGGTAGATTTGCGGATTCCTGTGCAAGTCCTGAGATCTTCAATCCCCCAACTTCGAATTTCAGGTTGCTGGCGGCGTGCAAAGGTGCTCCGCCAACCGGAGCCGACAAGCAATTGCCATTACAACACCTGGATCTAGGTAAGTTCAAGAAGCCAACGAAAGTCAACCATACTAATAACTGCAGGATCCATTATTCAAGTGATATATGACGGAGAGTATAAATTTAAGCTCAAGGACACGTAGCGAAGAGTATGATTTCTCTTTTTAGAACGGCGCATGGACCTTCATGCCATGCTACGAAATGACAGTCCTGACACCACACTCTAGGCGGCAGAAAGATGCCGTGCGCAAGCGCGGGCCTAGTCTCCGGGGCTTGTTTTTTTTTTAACGTCTATGGTGTAGCTCTAGTATAAGCAAAGAGATATGCTAGCTATGCTCTACGGATGGATGAACGTGCCGCCGTTTCGTTTAGCTGGACGGGGCGCGTCCGGAGGCGCCTTCACGTCCTCACCAGGGGCTACTCGTAACGACTTCTTGACCTGAACCTTTCCTGTAGGCTCCGTGGAGGGAAGAGTTTTGATTATGACAACCAATCATGTCGATCGCCTCGACCCGGCTGTAATTCGACCAGGACGTGTGGATAGGATGGTTGAGTTCGGCCTAGCAAGTCGAGAGATGCTGCTGGGGCTGTTCCGATTCATCTATCTGCCTTTGTCTAGCAAAACCGAAAGAGTAGGAGACAAGGACTAAGGAGTCATCAACAACCAAGACGTCAGGATACCCAGAAGCATATCCAGGAGCTGGCAGCGATGTTCGCTGATCGTGTGCCTGCGATGAAATATAGCCCGGCTCAGATCTTGTCATTTCTGATTGCGCACAGGCATTCGCCTGGAGACGCAGTGGAAAATGTCATCTCCTGGGTTGAAAAAGAGGGAGAAGGTTTCATTCCTCTGAGGCGCCACACTTCTACGATGAACACGATGGAAGACGACCTGGACGTAGACTGTTTCAGTGCAACGCTTGGTATGAAGCTTGTGGAGGATGGCCAGTTGTATACGATGATGATATAGATAGTCAGATTGTGTCACAGCACGAGGCGCAAGTATATTTCAACTCTATTTTTAGTACGCCTAGAAGTGCACCCAGCCACCTCGTTCAGCTGGAAGCATGCAAGCATGCAAGCATGCAGCATATCTTAAATAGGATAGGACACGTATTTTACAGGCTGGTCGCCACCACCCGTGGTTTCGTCATCTACGAAGCTTCGGGCTCCTCCTAAGATCGGGCCACCGGGCCAGCTGCCTGGCGTATTGTAAGGAAGACGCGCATGACACAATTTGTACTGTGCAATTCATAGCTAATGTACTAAATACGCGAGCTGCCTCTCCTCGTCAAACTCCTATTTTCCATCTGTCAGCACCGACTCTGAATTATCAAATTTTTTCCGTGTGAGATGAAAAAAGTCCTTCAATAGATACTTAGACACGACTTCCTGAAGGGTGCTAGCCGTTACACCTTGTAATTTGGCCAAGCGGGACCGTGTTTCGTCCATTCCTTTGCACTTTTTGAGGAGCCAAAGAATACAGCGCAGTTCCAACCCTGCTCCTTCCACCTTGGTTAATTCCGCTGCTGCAGATTTGGTAATGTTTTGTAACCGAGTTAGCTCTTCTGTTGATAGAGACACACGATCTGACTGCAAAAGAGCAAGTACGCAACGAGGCCGTTCCTTAACCACGGCCCAGAAAAGAGCACTTCCTTGCCGTGAGAAGATTTTCCTTTCGCGCGGCTCCTGAGCAGACTCATCAAAGAAGTGCCTCCACGACGAAACAGGCGTCTCGGTCTCTTTTGCAACGACATCGGTGTCAATGGCTTCGCATTCCAACAACCGACGAACAACGTCTTCGTGGCCATACATTGAGGCCATGGCAAGGGCTGTCCAAGTGTCGCCACCGAATCCATCATGGAGTCTTAAACGAATGAATTCATCCGAGACCGTGATCGGTCCGGTTCGTTGATTCACGTCCGCTCCCCTGCGGATAAGCAAGTTGACGATGTGTCTTTGGCCATTCCGTGACGCAGTAATGAGTGGTGTCTGGCCGTTCTCGAAGAGAATATTTATGTTGTCCTGGTGCTCTTCGAGGAGCCGATCGACAACAGCGGCAACGCCTTTTTCTATCGCCGTTTTGAGCATGGGTATGCCATTCGTTTCATCAGTCAAGTCAATCGCGTTCTGCTTCAGGAGAAGCTCTGCAACGCCGGCGAGTTCGTCATCATGTTGCCGGAGGCCTACATTGTGAGGCCTGATCTTTCCAATGACGAGCGCTAATGCCGTCCGAGGAGAACCGATAGGAACGGCGCTCGAGCTCGTTCGCTGGTTTACGTCTGCTCCCCTGCGAATGAGTAGGTCGACAATGCCTTTGTGGCCATTCCACGCAGCAGTCATGAGCGGTGTCTGGCCATTCTTCAAGATGCAATCAATCTTGCCCTGGTCCTCTTTGAGGAGCCGGTCAACAACGGGATGAGCACCGTTTTCAATTGCTGTTTCGAGCATGGATATGCCATTCGTGGCATCAGTCAAGTCTATACAGTCGTGCTCCAGGAGGAGCTCTGTGACGCTGGCGAAGTCGCCATAATACCACTCTTGCTTTGCGATGGCTTGTGCCAATGCCGTCTTGCCAGACTGGACGAAGTTGACGTCGATGTGTTGCTTATATTGGATAGCCCTTTGAGCAGGAACTCGCTTGCCAGCTGAGGCTGCCCAATGTAGCAGGCGCTCGCCTTGCTGCTGATAGAGGCACTCGTGGAGGACACGCTCGATGCGTTTGCATGTCTGTGCAAAGTTGTAAAGGGCTTCAATGGGCAATAATTTTGCAATATCCAGCAATAGCTCAGGAGGTAGTAGATTTATTTTGTTGTCCGCACCACTGCTACCTCGAGATGCCGAGACTGCTTTGCGCGGCGGCTCTAGATTTGGATGGAGTAGAAGTTCAAGTTCGAACGCAGATGGGCTATAAAATTGTGCGGTTGTTTTGCGATTGCGCGGCAACAACCGCTTCCCTGCAATGTCATATCTGCGGCGTGTCTGTGCCGTTGGCGGCTTCCGTTTGGCAGGTCTGGCCAGATATCTCTTGGCCATGATGGGCGTGAGTGGTGGTAACTTTTTTTTGGATGGTGTAAAGGGCACAGGAGACAAATCGGCTTTGTTGCGAGGACTCGTAAAGAAGTCGGAAGTCTCCGTTTAGTCATCAATGTGTGGCGGCGGTTCGTGCCAGCGGGCAGGGACGTGCACATCAGGAGTACACGCCTGGCCACACACTAGCTAGGGTACATGCTTGAGGGAAGAATCTTCGTGGAGCCAGGATGGCGACCACTGGCTTTGAGAACAAGGGCAAGAGATAAACATAATGTTCATGAGCTAGGAAATTCCACGCCTTCTGTCGCCGCTATACCTTTCCCGACTTTTATTTGACAGCCCTGACAACCAGCTGATCTACCGAGTCGTACACGCATTCGGTATACTCTTGTCCTGATTGCTGCGCGGCCTATTCAGGGTGGCCACCGCTCCCTTGTTGGGCGTGAGAGAGTGGTGTTTTGAGGCTCGCTATCCGGTGGGTTTCGCAACGCATACGCCATGGTTGCCAACTCGCCTGAGAGTGGGTTCTGTTCCGCTCGTTCTAGGGTCCCCTTCCTCACTGGCGCCTTTTGCTCTACCACTCGACATCGTCCACTTTCGTTTTTTCTTCAGATGTAGGAGGGGAGTGTCGTTAGAATTGTGTCCTAGTTCCTCAATTCCTGTCCGTCATCTGTTCGTCCATTTTCTCCTCGGACCCTCTGCACCACTCCCACACAGCTTGACTATCTGGCTTCCAGTACAGTGTGGACCAGGCTGCAGGGGCTACCTGAGAACTGTGCAGCTTGCGTTCGCCGACATCGCAAAATGAATTGGCCGTTGGTCACCAAAAATAATATGGCATACCTCTGTCGGCTTCCAATCTCCATTGTATAGAGCTTGAACTCCAAGACCTGCAAAAAAAATTCTTTTCCGGTATTTTCTTCGCACAGATTGTTCTTCTATCTCTGTTGCCCTCAACAGTCGCCTTAAGGCAGAATCTTGTCGAAAAACATGCCGCCAGGCAGATGTATGCCTATCCTGTGCATTACTGCGCGAAATAGCCCCTTCAAGTTGTGGCGTGCCACTGAACAGATCGTCACGCAAGCGGCTCGAAGTCTTGTTTGGGGTTTTTCTTGGTCGATTCATACTTGCTAAGTCGCTCCTCTGCATTGGCACTCTAGTCCTCCCTCGTCTTCTATGAGAAAGCGACACACGGAGCGCCCTCTGATAGTACCACGATATATGCTGTATTAATACATGCGTATGTCAGCAAACAAGGGCAGCAATGCGTAACGAGGCGCAAAAGGAGAAAAGATGGTTGGGGGCGAGGGTAGCTGAGGCGCCGCTGGTGTGTGAGTGGCAAGGAAGCTCTCGATGGCTGTCGATTGATTGGGTGCCGCGCGTGTACAGCAATTTCGGACGCGTTGGAGTCGTCGTAGATGAAAAGGCAAGAAAGCGCACTTCGTGGTCATTCATAGGAAGCGCCAAATGGGTGTGAATGAGGCAGTGAATGGATGTGATGTGCCTCAGTGCTCAGTGTACTTTGCGCCTTGCACTCCGAAAGTGGAGCGAAAGCCGCACGAGGGGTTGTGGCTGCCCCCTGAGAAAAACGTCGGCTGACGTCGAGTGACAAGGCGTGTCGCGGTTCTGCACCGGCCACACGACTACCTGCCAGTCGAGTTACGCTACACAATTCTGTGTCAGAACATCTGAGGGTGCTACTCTTGTTCATGCATGTACATGACACCGTCTTCGCGTCGAGGTACAAGGCGGGGGACCTGGCACCTCGGGAAATCCAGTGGCTGCGGCATTCCAGCTCCTGTCGTGCGTGTGCCAGCGTTCACCGAGGGGAGATGAAGGCGGTGCGCCGTTGCATGGGTGTTTTGTTGCCCTGGACCAGGGGTTCGTTCATTTGGGGCACGCGACGCGGCCGGAGACCCAAGGACCGCATACGAGCGCCACGGGTACTGGCCACGGGTACTGCGCGCACGACTATGAAGAATGTGCGACTTTTCGCCGCCATTAGGCATGTATGACTGGTCTCGTCGCCGACCGTCGTGGTTTGGAGGAGATTTTGAGTGTGACGCGGACAAGAAGGCTTGAAGTCCCTAGTTTGTCCAACAATATGCGCACGGGCAGTAAGGAAGCAAAAGCGGAGCAGATCCTACTCTCGCCCATCCTCTAGCGCCACGAACCTGTTTCCGCTGCACGAAAACGAACGCTGATACATCGACAGTGGCGGTGGCCGCGGTCCGAATTCCGGATCCACCGTAGGCCTCTAGCTCCAGTCTCGCACTTGCTCGTTGGTTCGATACACTACATCAAAGACAAAAGGGCAAGGTTGCATGACGCTAACAATTGCCATTTCTGGACAAGTTTGCCGAACGTGCTCGTGTCGAAGTGAACAGCTTCTCGTGAGAAGCCTCAGCGGCCCATCGAACCTGATATCGTTAGCGTGGTGGCTTGTAGGATCACGAGGCGGGCCGTATTGTCAGCCTGCCCAGCGATCCCGGCGCTAGTCATGAGGGAAGAGCGGTCCGCCCCGCGACTGGCCGGAAGCAAGACACGCCTTTCGCATTCTTGCTGCGCGCCACAGCGGGGCTCGCTTGAAAGAAATAATCAGGTTCTCCATTCGGCCTATTACGATCTGTCGCGGACAGTGCCACAACAGTGCGGACAGCTCGCGGGGCAGAGATCGTAGATGCACCGATCAACAAGCAGCTTTGCAACGGTCCTCACACCGCTGTATCTTACATCACAGGCTGGCCGCGGCTGCGATGCAAGAGTAGGGCTGTAGGAAGCTCAAGATGTGTTGGGCAGCCTGTACTAAAGGTAGACGATTGCTCTGTGCCGTAAAGGAGTAATGCACTTCAGCCTGAACACGCCTCTACGCCGCTATTCGTTGAAGCAAATGCTTGTTGACCAGTGAAAGCGCTGACGAAGCCCGCCACTGCGTCCCCTCATCTGCATGAGAGTGGGTGCAATGGAAATTGCACTCGACTCTGTGCTGTGGAGCCCAGCCTCAATGCAAACGTCTAGGCCAGCGCAATCGACCCATAAACCATTGCCAAAACAGCCCAACCGATATAGAGTGTGCAATGGTCCACTCAGCTGGTGCGTTCCATGAGCGGGAGACGGGTGGCCAAGGGTTTTACGATTTGCCATGGCTGCTGCATGGCTGTGACCAGCGGCCGATCCATTTTGCGGTGTCGGTGAGCGCAAGTTGCACAGTTTCCAGGTAGCCCCTGCAGCCTGGTCTACACTGTACCTCTTGTCGGAGTACGCCGGGGCAGCTTGTCGCTGACTCTGCCAGCCAGACGGTAAAGCTGCGTGGGAGCAGTGCAGAGGGGACAGAAGGCCGGAGCAAAGACCTCCGAGAACATGTCACCGCGCCAACTCCAACTGGCAATTTCCCCTTGACGATTCTTGTCCGACCCCGTGAGGCGTAGATCATTGTCACTTTAGCCCAACGCGCCGAAGACGGATCAACACACCAAGAGCATGGCAGCCCTACTACCCGGGCCTACGGATTACACAAGGCGCTCCGATACATGCACCCTATCATCAGAATATCCCTGGCCGCGCCATCGACAGACGCTCTCGAACAACAGCCAACACCTATGACCTATTGAATGTGCGCCGCCGCAGTGAGCGTCACAGGGTCCTGGCGGCCGATCTCGTTGCTGTGCGTTTGGCCTGCTTCTAACCAACCAAGGATGTCCGAATGGCTTAAGCTCTTGATGCGAATGCCCTACCTTTCGGCACCGGGTCAATGCTTTTCCGTAGAATACGAACGAGTTGCACCAGCGTATTTATGACTTCCACAAAACATCAGCTTGTTTCTTGTATACCGTTACCTGCATTATCCACAACACATCGAATAAGCTTCGTCTCACTGCTACATCATTCAAAGGTGCTGCGCCAGCATGCAACCCAAAACATTCGGGAGCCTGCCTCCAGAGTTACGCGACGCGATCTGGCGTCTCGCAATTCCTAGCACTACCTTCCACATAAATATGCAGATCGAGCGGGCAAAATGGCCTTGGACACATACCAAGTGCTCGATCACAGCTACTCCCGACGTCAAGCACCGCAACAATGTTCTTCTAGTCTGTAGGGAGTCATCGGCTGCGTTCAAGAGCGTGAAGAAAGTGCGCGTTTTCAACCCCGTCGGCAAATACATCGAGGCCGGGTCGAAGAAGAAATGGGAGCTTGTCGTGAATCCGATCAATTTGGATCCATTTCATGACACGATCGATTTCAGTGCTCACAGAGCAAGAGTTTCAAAATTCGTTGAAGCATTCCCGGAGCTTGCATCATGTATCAACGCAGCGGTCATTCCTTTCCGCGAAATACCGGCCATATGGTGGATAGTCGCCATCGGGCTACCGAGAGTAGAAAATTTGGCTGTCGTCGTCACTGGTTCAGAAGAGCGATCAAAATTGGTCCGTCGGATTGAGCATCCTGATTTGCAAGTTAGTATCAACCTTTCCGTTGATCGTGTCATTCAACGACAGGTATCCCGAAAGACCATGATCTACAGCAAGATGGAAAGTGGTGATAAATTTTCGGACCGCTGCGGCGAGATCATCACGGAGCTGCCAGCTTTCGTACAGCATGGCAGTTGATTTTCCGATAGATCTGGCCAGTGTGTATCATGAATTCTCTAGATTTAGCCCTTGAGAAGTAGAATACATAGTCGGTCTGTTAAAGCATCCTGTATCAACATTTTGGGAAGTGGTCATGGAAATCGCATTGGGTCCAGAAATACATCGTGAATAGCAGCCGCCTGCAACTCTGTCGGCTCTGGTCGTCATGCGTTCCTTCTCTCTAGCGATAATTTTGCGTGTCTCGGATTCTAGGTC